GGGGGGGGAGTGGTATATCAGACACAATGGGAGGGAAGACAGAAGAAAAGTAAAAGCCTGATTAAATTTTATCTTTCTCCTAATGCAATTTTTCAATGAAAATGAGATAACACCCAGGTGTGTCCGCTGGATTTTGAAAATTGAAGAAGTCAAACACATGGAATCATTACTGTGTATTTTTTCAAATTTCCCCAATACACCTTCTGACATTTTCAAATTAGTTTTGGTTAGACAGGGTCTGCCTATGTTGTCCAGCCAGAGTCCTGAGCTGTGGGGAGTGTAGGTGTGCACTACTGAGCCAGCCTTCAGCCTGGAGTCATAACCGAGCCTGGGTCCGAGCCTGCAGGGCCGTGTCTCAGCAGGACACCGTGCTGAGGCGGAGCCCACCTTCTGAGGTAGTTTTTACTTGGGACTCAAGAACAAATCATAATGCTGATGAAAAGCTGAAGTCAAACTTTGCTGTCCTGAATACAAAGTTGAAAATCAACTAAAACGCCATCTAAAACACAAAACCCATAAAAGAAGCAATTCAATCCAGTCAGAAAGTTTTCACCCAAAATAATGGTCCTCTTACTTGTTTTAATTCTTTTCAGTGTATTAATGTGTTTATTCTCATATTTTGTAATCTGGGGAAATTACTGCAGCTAAGAGAAGTGTGTCATGGACCTCTTAATTCAACCTCTGACCTCCAGGGATAAGCTTGCTGCTTGAAGACAAGCAAGAACCACAGCACCTAAAACTTGGGGACACGGTTCTTTCCAGTCATCAATGGCAGCCTCACAATAATACAAGGAAAAAAAGTCCCAGAATTCCGGGAGACAATTAGGTGTGTAGATCTGGGTTACAATTTGGCACTAGATGACAAAAACTATCCACGCTGAAGTATACCTAAACAAGGTTGTTTTCTAGAAAAATGAAAGAGGAAGGATTTATTCAGAACCAATGCCACTGGTTTATTCCATCCTCAAAGTTTGTCATGAAAAAAAATTGGGGCTAATGAGATATGAGCTGCAGTAGCTTGAGGATAACAAGGTGCAGATTCTGTGGATGCTCAGACTCGTCCAGCCCTCGTCTGCTGAACTGACCTTCACTGAGCTACTTCTTATGCCTGGCATGAGAACGCCGTGAGAAGGCACTACGGACACAACCTACACATTCTTAAACTGAGGCCCAGAGGATTTAAGTGATGAGAAGCAGAGTCCAGGCTGGAATTTCTAACTCCTCTTTTCAGGATTTTGGGTAGACCAGAACCTAACTAGCATCAGGTTAGGTCAGTTATGCCTGGATACTGCCTGGGTCTCTGCACTTCCCTAGCAAGTGGGAAGTAGCAAAATAAGACCAAGTAAGACAGGATCAGTGCAGGGAACATCACGAGTGCTGCCTCAGCTCAGGCCTGAGGCCAGAAACTGTCATTCAGACCCAAGACCAGGGATGAGGACTGACATCTGGCCACATCTGTGGTCAACAACAAATGAACCCACTATTTACTCTATTAACTACAGCTGCCTAACCTCCTGAGCTGCCTAGACGATCGATAACATATAGACACACAGCTTCCTGCATTGCTCCTATTTCCTTCTGTGTTAGAGCAACATATTTAGTCTCGGTAACTGGTCTGTTGTCAAATGTGTTGAGTATGGCCAAGGCCAATGCAGTTGACAAAGAAATCTGAAAAAGATATAACTCCAAGAAGCAGTGGAGCAGCTGGGTATCCTACCTGCTGCCCCCGAGCCCCCGGGCTGGGGAGATCTTCATCAGGTTTGATCTTGGATCGCTTGTTGTGCATCGGGTCACCAGTGCTGCTCACTGCAGACTCACTTGTGGGCTTGTTCTACGGGTCACATTTGCAAGGCCAGAGATAAAGAAATTAGATCTGGATCAATGAGTGGTACCAACATTAAAATCTGCAACTCAAAGACAACCAGGCTCCAATCTTATGATAGGAGAGCTCAGATAATGTGCTCAGAACTGGAAAATACATTCACAAGGCAGCGCTTCACTTGTAACTCAAGAGTATAAACTCCCAGTGCTTTCTGAAGGCTACATCTGGGGGCCTTAGGATTTAACATGCTCCAGTCATGTATTTCAAAAGAATAAGTTGAGGTTTGAGGCAAGTAGATGACTCGCACAACCATTTGAGAAGTTCTTTAATGAAAGCATGCAGATTCTCCTCCAAACATCAGTGTGACCCTAGGAGCAGAGGGCACAGTGCCGTTTTCTAGAGAATCACTTGCTCCTAAGTGGCAACGGTAGTTCCAGCACTGGGAAAGGACAATGAGTACACAGGGTAGAGCAGTCCTGTGTTGTTACTGCTTCCGGGTCCTGCAGAGCCCTACTGAGCAGCCTGCCTTTCCACCCATGAGAAAATGACCTGGTGGGGGACCAGCAGTTAGCGTAATGGCTATGTCGCTGGACTCCCACGTAGTTGACCGCGATTCGCGTCCCGGACCTGGTGGCTTAAAACTCACGCCGGGCACATGTGCGTGCATGCCCAAGATCCCAAGAGGAGAATGGAGGAGAAGGGACTGCAGCGTGACCATCCCCCTTGGGGGGGTGATTTCTCGCTTAAAAAAAAAAAAAAAAAAAAAAAGAAAGAAAGAAAGAAAAAAAAGAAAGAAAGAAAATGACGACCTGGTGGAAGAAGCTTTGGTGGAACATGGAGCAAATGCACAATACATTCCTCAAAAATGGAGATCCTGGATTAGGAAGGGACAACGCCACCGTGGAAGCCACAAAAACGCCTTGCAGAATGGAGACTCATGGCTCACTGAGGCCACGGCCCTCCTCTGCTGACCAACACAGAGCAGCTCGCCGCGCTTCTTCTCACCTGAGAGGACTCGGAAGGGCCGGAGCTGACCTGGACGGGGTTCAGAACCGTAGGGATTCCTGGAATAGGCCTCTGTGTTGGGAAAGTTGGGGCAGGGTGGATGAGTGGAGGGCTATGTCCAAAGGCCGAGCCTAAGCTTTGCTGTCGGCTTAGGATCTGTTGATGCATATGGAGAGAGACAGGCGCGGAAGGGTAGGTGAAGCTCAAGGCAGGGCTGCATGTGAGGAGATAAAGAAGACCATCAGAGGCTGAACTCAGAGACCATCGCAGCAACGGCACTTGCAGCTCCGCAGCAGCATTTTACCATCCCAAAGGACAGCGGGTCTGTCTGTTTAAATGAAAAGGCAGAAACGATTATTGCCAAGTGTCTCGGAAGGTCTGAAACATCCAGGAGAACCATGACCACACAGACAAGACGTGCACGTGCAGGCGCACACGCACACACACACGCGGACCCGAAATGTGGTTCTGCAACACGGAAATACAGGGCGTCAGCTCAATAATAACTATTTATTGCAATAACAAACTTTCTATAAAACAGAGAATGGGTGACTACATGCTTTATAGGACTTTTATTGGCTCTCCGTCCCGTATGTTCCTGTGCACGCGGCCGTTCCTTTCATCTTCGCTCACACCATGCGCTTTCATATGTCTCCAGATCTTATTACAAGAGGAAAGAAAATCAATTGGTTAAATGTGTTTTGAACACCATGCTTGTCATATCACTCATTTGTTTGTAAAGATGGAAAGCTTGGTTCATCCAGAATGCCACCTAAAGAATTTCCATCAGTGCCGTCTGGTTACAGAAACTGATGGATTAACCTCTCCCCACGGAAATCAAAGATCAATGGGCTTCGATGGAGGAACACTCCAATGGGAGAGCACAGCTCCCTTTTCTAGCTAAACAGCATTAAATGTCTATTAAAGCCCATTACGCATGCTAATGCCTGTCGCCACTTTATCATACCCGCGTTTCCCGGGCTCCACGAGTTCTGAGGAAGCAATGAAAGGAACGAACGATTTCTTGACCAGGAGGCAGTGCCAAATCGTTGTTGGTGCCAGCTTAGTTTAGGAACCAAATCCTCTTAAAAGAATAAAGTGCTCTTGAGGCATTTGCCAATGGCTTAAAAATGTGTGAAAAACTAATAACTGCATTCATGGAAATTTATTTTTTAAAAAATCAGTAAGAAAACTACTACTCTATAGGTCTATTTCCCCCTACCCTGCTGTGTAACCCGAAGAATCAGGTTTTCGTGTAATATCCAAGGTAAAACTCACGCCATTTCCAATCTGGTGGGTTAATTACTATTGCTGTTAAGCACATTAACTGAGAATAAAATAATTACAATAACAAAATTCAAACCATCTCAACAATTTTAAGTAATAATCCCGAAGATAGACTCTGCTCGTTAATGTGACTCTAGATTTTGCCTATTTGACTACAGTCCATAAAAGCAGCTTCAATGGGATTACATTACTATTATTCCTACAGAGAACCTTCCATTACAATAGCTTGCCCATTTAAGACTGAATATCATTAAGAATACCCTAGGAGAATTCCACCGGGCTTTGAGGAACTCTCCTTTCATTCCACATTGTATTTCTTTAATAAAGGAAAGCAGAAACACAGTGAAAACAGTCATTGTTCAGAGTAAGTTACGAGGAAATCAGTAATAATATTCCGTTTCTGCGCTGGGATGGTTTCCGCCACTGTTTCCGAAAGCAACCAAGAATGATTACAGCAAGACTTGGCTAAGGTAGCTGTGCGGATGATTGATAGGGCATTAATCAAAAGATGCATATCTGCCTCAGAATTTGTTCACGAGCTTTCTTCTAATAGCTGATTTCATGTTCACCGAGCTCTATGCCAGTTTGTCCAATTTATTTTTCAGTGTACAAGCCATTCATCAAAAAACACAATGATTTAACCCCCCTTCCCTGTGGGTGAATGGATATTACTAAGTGTAACTACCTTATTCTATTCATTAAAGAAACAAAGGCTGGAAGATTCCACTTCATGTATAATTACAAGGTCACGCAGAATCTGCATATCCCTCCACACATCTTGCGAGAGTACCAGGAGCCTGAACCACCTGGTAGGATGGGGGAGAGAGCCCTGGAGGTCGTTTGCATCACTGATTCTGGGAGACGCAATATTTATGGGCTTAAAATTCAGTACCTAATTAACAATCAAGACCCAAAGAAAACATTTCACAAGGCAAAAATGACCACAATTGTCTACATAAGCAACCCACAGTTAACAGCCAGACGGGGTAGGTACATTTTTCAAAAGATGTGAAAGAGAGGACAAAACCAGGGCTGAGTGTTCCCACCACAGCGCCTTAGGTCCACGGTCCTCCTTATTCTCAGGGTGCACAGGTAGGGGTTGTGAAGGCTTTCCACACACTTCAGTAACGTGCTTGCTTGGGGACACTTACGTGCTGATCAAAGCAGGTGATGGGAGTAAGCATTCTCTAAAATCCACACCAGCTATTAGATCGCACGTGGAATAAAGAAGAGATTTTTAGGGTTCACGGTCCACATGGAACCAACCACCAGCGACAGAATCACTCTCTCGTTGGTATACATAAACGCAGGCAAGGGTGAGGTCCTGGGAGACCTCAACTCTACCCAGGCTCTGCGCCCCGCTGTTACTGCAGGATCTTGTAGGCTGTGGCAGGTACTAGCCACACTATGTGGCCCATTCAGAATCTGATGGCAGAAGAGCTGTGACTTGATCACAGCATCAGCTAAGGGATCAGGGAGTCAAGGCTCCTCTCTCGGGGAACACTGCCTGTGGTGTTCTTAGACTGAGTTTTCTAGGGAGAAGCTGAGGGTGGACGATGACCAGGCACGGCCCATGTGGTGTTGAATATGACAGGCAGAATTTCTTTTCTACCTTTCTATTAAAGCAATGCATTCGACGTGCACTCTCAACCGTCTTCGACAAGATGTATGTGTGAAAAGCAGCCCCTGAGCACGTCCAGGAAGGGGACTGAGAACGTGAGCGATTGCAGCCCCTACGCTCTAGGTCTAAGTGGAGAGAACCTGGGTTCTTATAAGCTCTTGTCTCAGAGCACAGCGTGTGTCCAGGCCGATCTGTACTGGCTGTGCCTCTGGCTTGGAACCTTCGGCTTTCAGAGCTCAACATGGATGTTCTTCTGTCACTGGGGTTCCAGCTGAAATAGCACCTCCCCAGAGAGGCCTTCATGGGCCAATGAGCCATACACAACACTCACTGCTCCTCGCTGTCTACTCATTCGGTACAGTGGACAACCCGGTTCTCACCGCAGCCCACGACATCCACTGGAATATTCCTCTCCTTCCTCTAGAGGGTGGATCCAGGTGAGCCAGGCCCTGGGGCCTAGAACACTGCAGACACTCAAGACTGACTCAATGAGCCAACTAGTCTCTTCCTCGGGTGTCAGCTTCCTGTTACTGCTGCACAAATGGCCAGCAGCCAAATGGCATTAACAACACACATTGCTTATTTTCTCACACGAGGGTTCATCCAAAAGTTCAGGGAAAATGCATACGATGGAAAAACTACGCGTGAAGTCCCAAATCTTTTGCACCACAAAAAAGGTGGACTTTCATTCCCCAAAGTTGTTGAAGGTCCCTGGTAGGTCTGGAAGTCAGCAGTGTAAGGCAGTGGTAGGTGGCATGCTTCCAAAGGCTCCGGCTCTGCGCCTCTCCATCGCCTAGAGGCTGCCCACGCTCCTTGGCTAAGGGCTCCCCATCACTCCAGCCTTTCCTCAGACTCTGACTCTCTGCTTCCTCTTCTAATGGCCTTTCTGGTGACATTAAGGCTACCCAGACAATCCAGGATAATTCTCTCGCACCTAGTCACAGTTGCAAAATTCTGACTGGCACATAAGTAACATAATTCACTGATTCCTAGAATTAGGATGTCGACTTTCCTCATGCTTTCTCATCATGATAGCAATGTGCACGCAGGGAAGAGGAGAGAGATTTCCCCCCCTCCTCAGGGCCCACTCATGCCATGGCCCTCTCCTCCAGTCCTCCAGCCTGCCGGATCCGGGCACTCAGGCTCACACTCAACGTGTTTCGGCTGACCAGGTCGGACACTGAGACCACGTTTACTGTGTGAATCCGACTTCTCTGGCATACTGCTGTACTGCTCAGTCATGGAGCCAGACCGGGACGTGGACATCGTCGGGAGCCTACCACATTCACAACACTGACTTCACAGAAAAATGTGTTTCTGTAAAAAGTAACATTTGACAACATGAATGTAAAACAGTATTACACTAAAACAGTGTTGCCTTGGGTCAGCAAGAGGCATGGTGGTTTAGGTATGAGATTCCACGTGGCTGACCATGGTTCGAGTCCTGGACCTGGCACATTGACAGTCACTCCAGGCATATCTGTGTGCATGCCAAGAATCCCAAAAGAAGGGAATGCAGCAAGGCCATCCCTCCAGGGGGGCAATTTCTCTCTGAGCACATGTGCCCTATGTTAATAACCAAAAAATAAATAAATAAAATCCTCAAAGCCTGGATCTTTAAAAACGATCTGATAGGTATTTTATTTTCTACTAAAAATCAGAGGTATAAAATTTGTCGATGCTATTTTACAAAGTATGGTCACATTTTGCAAACTGGACCATGTCTTAGTATTGTAGTAAACAGGGGGCTAGCAGGTAGAGCAGTGGTTGAGGTGTTGGACTCTCACATGGCAGACCACAGTTCGAGTCCTGGACCTGGCGGCTTGCTTTCTCACTTTCCCTTTCTCTCTTTTTCTCTCTCTGGTCAAATTAAAACTAATAATAACAAATATATATATATATATATAACATACACACACACACACACACACATACAACAGCTTACTTTGCATAAGACTAGTGTGTGAGAATCTCAACAACTATCGCCAAGTGCGCTAAATTGAGGATGCCGGTAGAAAGAAAGGACATTACACAACTAAAATAAAATGCTATTGGGGCCAGAAAGTGGAGTCAGGAGTGCTAGAGATCTGGGCTGGCTGAGGCTGGAGTCGGATTGCTGGGTGGGTACACTGTTTGGGGAGTCTATCTCTCAGACGAAACAAACTTTAACAGTGAAATGAAATGGATTTCATAAAGTCCATAAACTCCATCTTATTCATTAATTGAACAAGTTTTAACCAAGTACTTTCTACATATCTCATTTTTAATTCCAAGAAATGAAATAACGATCCTAACCAGAAAGTTCT